AAGGGGGGAAGGGTATTGGTTACGGTTACCAACGGGGACAGCTACGAGTATTGCTACTGCAGGAAGGTTGACGGTATGTGCTCTCTCTCTCTCTCTCACACACACACACACCCGCTCTCTTTCCTTCCCTGCGTCAACTGTGGCACCGTCTGGCCAACTGCCCAGCCAGCCGTCGGCGTGGGTTGGACAGACACCCTCGCATCAACCACAACCAGCCACCATCAGTCAACCATCAGTCAGCCATCAGTCAGCCATCAACCACCATCAGCACACTCCACATCCCCGACAGCACACATTCCCCCCCCCTCCTTCCCCCCCCCTCTTCCCCCCCTCTTCCGCCTCTTCCTCCAATCCCTCTACACCCCCCCTCCCCCCTCTACCAATTTGTTTCCATTCCACCCCCCACCCCCCACCACCTCCCCGGCCACCACCTCTTCCCTCTCCTACCCGCCCCCCTCCCCCACCCACTCCACGTCTTTCCACACCTCACGCTACACATAGACACAGACATGCGGGAGATAGCACGTGACGCTGTGGACGGACTCTACCGTGAGTACGTCTCGCGGTTCTTCTTTGGCCTCCGCATCCTCACATACGAGCGCAACTTGCTTGTCTCGGAGCTGGCTCGGGTGGCGCCGGCCGCTGCGGCGCATCGTGACCCGCTGGTCCTGGTCGTCCGCATGGACTACGACAAGAAGAAGGCTTCGAGTTGGGCACTTCGTCGCGTTTCCAAAATTGTTGCCTCCGCAAAGCCTCTTGTTCGCATCCGCACCTTGCTCTCCGAGAGTGAGCTCTCTTCGCCGGACAAGATCAATGCTGTTGTATTGGATGTCGCGGCTGCCTACGACCGCTGGTCGCTGCAGGTGGCCATGTATGATGGCGCGCCGCTCGATCGAGACTCGCGCTCGTTCTTCTTTGAACAGATCAACAACCTGTCGTCGCTGGAGGAGGTCTTCTCGGACCCCATGGGCATCGGCGCAAAGTTCCTCAAGGACTACTTTGCCGAGCTCGAGCTCGTCGACCTGCTCAGCAACGATCCGGGCGCAGATGATGAGCGCGCTACCCAGGACACTGTCCACCACGACCAGGAAGACGATCACGAGGAGGCCGACGACGCTCTGGAGCCTGCACCCGAGGAGCTCGCCGCCGCCGCCCAGGCCAAGGCCAAGGCCAAGGCCGCCGCTGACGCCGTTGCTGACGCAACCTCGGCCGCTGCCGCGCCCGTTCCCATGGACCTTGCCTCTGCCAAGCCGCGGGCGCCGAGCCCGGATCCTGCCGCT